TTTGGTGTCCTTCCAGGGGAGGGGACCCGTCAGAGCCCAGGAGAGGAAACACACAGGAGCTCCAGCACCAATCATTTGCCCTCTCGCAGTCTAACCTGGAGCTCAGCCCTGGAGGACCCAGTCCCCTCCCAAGCTGCACCTCAGCCTCTTCTTTGCTCTTTAACCCTAAACTGAAATGCATTTTGGAAGACCACAGAGCAGGAGAGAGCTTAAGATGCTGTAAAAGTACAGGAGGTCTGGCTTCACCCACACTGGCAGGTCCTAGCTCCAAGCGCTGCCAGTGCTGCAGCTGCTGGCCAATGCAGATGTCAGGGCACCAGCACAGGACCTGGAGGATCAGGTTCACAGAAATACATGCAACAAGAATGCTGCAAATGCAGAAATAAGACAGAGTCTTCCGTATATAAGAAGAATAAAATTGAGAGCTTGGATTGGAAAGAGATGGGGATACATGTCAAAAAGGGAAGGGAAGCACAGCTCTCAGGCATGCAAGGGTTCTGAATGCATATCCCAACACCTTGGAACAATGCCCCCAGCTGGCTCCCCTTCAACAGCCATCCATACTCAAGACTTATGACCTGGGAGGGTGGGAAAGGGAAATACAGTGTCCTTTTCACTGAATACCACAAGCATCTCTGGGGTTTTATGTTCTTTTTGCGGAGCACAGCCTTCCTAGCAATAAAGTGTTTCTGCCATCCTTGTGCGAAAACTTCCCAAATGTAATGAAGACACGATTCTTTGGGGAAGAGTCTCAGTTTGCCCGTGCTGGATCTGTGAACTTCCTCTAGAGTGACAGCATTAAGCTCTGACAGGTTGTGACAGATCTGACTCCGTGGGTCTAAATTAAGAGTTAGGGCATCATGTTTCTTGTGCTGACTCTGGGTCCTACCTGCCAAGTTCAGGAACAGCGGAAGAGGAGAGTAACCAATGTGAAAGCAAACTTGCAAAAGGACTACCTTGGAAAATGGAACACAAAAGCCAGCAAAGACTGATTCCTGCAAGGAGATAAAGAGAGGGCAAGGCTAGGACTGCTTAGACAAAGAGAGATGCAAAAATAGGACTGACCTCACAAGCATCAAATCCTGTAAGGGCCGTAAAGGTGAGGAGATGTAGAGTGGGAAGGACAGACAGAGCAGGTCTGGAGCTTTAACAAGAAAAACTGGGTCTTGCTGGGTAAGCAACTAAGTGACAAAGACAGAAGTGGGAATGAAATAGGCAGGGTGATCAAAACTCCAGATTTGCTGGGATTTGCTGGGCAGGCAAGCTTTCTGACACAAGAGGGTGTAATAGTAAGTGAGGCAGGGGTGGGCAGGGAACAGGGTCAGAAAGTAGGAGTAAAGAAAGTAAAGAAAACAGAGAGGAAAAAAACTGTACTTTCAGGGTCTAAAGTAGGACACAAGACTCCTGAATCCCTCAACATGCCTATCAAGTCTTCTAGAAACCTTCTAGAGTTGAGAGTGTGAGTATCCAGCCACTATACTATGTAATTATCAGCTGAGTGTCAGAGGTCTGTATGATGGATATAAAAGTCCCAGGCCTGCTGATATGCTATGCAAATAGATACAGATTGAAACTATTTAGAAGTTTCGAAAAGTCAAAACTAGGGTTGATTGCAAAATCTTTGTTCACTCCTCTTTCACCTATGTGTAACAAATAACGTATGGTTAATGGAGCAGTAAGTTGTCCTGTGGACCTGAATTCAAACTCTACTTTTAGGTAAGAGTTTCCCTGTAACTAATCAGAATCATTTAAACCACAATTTTACAGGTAATCACTAACTGTGTGCCAGATTAAGAGACTTCCCCAGATCATTAAGCCCAGTCCTTGCTGACACAGGCATCATCTTCTTGAAGTCCCTTCTCTATGCTGATCAAGCTCCATCTGAAAACCTACTAGCTACTTTAGATGGTTTGCTTGAGTTTGCAGAAGAGATGAACCCTCTGAGCTCTGTCATAAAAGACTCAATAAGAGCTCTGATTTATATGTGTCAGATAATCTAACCAAAGTCTCAGAATGGGCACTCAAAATTAGTAGCTACTTCTGATATTTACCTTTATTTGCAATGGCTGTAAACACAGAAGATAGTACTCTTGCATTGCAGAAAGTTGTTCTGAAAATATATCCATTAATACTTATGAAATGGCAGGTATTAGTGAAAAAAAGGATAGAAAGGGATAAAGGGATAGAAAAAAGTATAGAAAACACAATTTTACAGTGTTTGAAGAGCATACATTAACTATCCGTACAACTAGATGCCTTAATTGGTGGGCTATAGCACAGGGAAACAGCTAAATCTAGCTCTTGAAATTAGACTGGACAGAGCAATGGAAAAACATACAATAAGGAAAAACATCACATGGCTTAATATAAAGATACACTGAAATGCTCTGTATCAATATTTATTTGAATGCAAACTTCCCTCTTGGTTAAAGCTTGGTAAAATAGATTATTTATCTAACAATTTTTATTCCCTTTAATTTTAACAAAATATCCTTACTACACAACCATCATAGGTTTGTGAGTTTAGTGTGTATGTTTTGCTAAGGTAAAGATTTCTACAGTGAGCACTGAGGCTTGGCTGAGTACCTTCAGGCTCAATCCACTTTAAATGTGCTTGTGCCTTCCTTTCAAAAAATACGTGTAAATAAGATACATTTTGTTCTAGCACAGTTCAAATGAAGAGGACAAACACAAGTTACTATACCGTGAACTAAAGCAAGAACTTGTATCTCACTGAATAGGTGCCCAAAGCAGATATGGGTACCTCAAAGCATACTTGAGAGACTTACTGTGTTTCACTCATCTACCTATTCTCTGCTGAGAGAAGGAAAAGACATTGTTCTCTTTCTAGATCCTTTGAAAAACTCTATTGAATTGATTTAAATCAAGTTCAGTGATTTTGAATACACTATACAATTGCAATTTTAGGATTTTTTGTATGCCAAACTAGTTTATAGAGGCTCAGCTGTTTACTTTTTATTTATGTGTTTAAATGAAGGGCAACTACAATATAATTAACGTGGAAAGACAACTAAAATTCTTGGAGTGAACTTTGCAATTCCATACAAAAATTCCTCAGTTACCATTTTGTCTTCTGCAGTGTAAGGCAGATTACATTTACCCAGCCTCTAAAATCTCTCTATCCTACTAAGCAGCTGAATCAATCTAGTTCACAGAAAAGGAATTTTAAACAACCCAAATGACTTGGTAAATACGAAAACTTCAACAACATTGAAATCAGTCTCTTTACATTTTCAAGGTACAGTTGAAACTAGACGTTCTTACTAGAAATGAGGTGATTTCTACTTAACACCAGCAATTTCCTTGCATCTGAACATGCCAGTCTTCATAAATCTGCCTCTTGTCATGGCAAAGTACCCATGCTCAAGTTTGAATTGGACGTGCAGTAGTCAGGAATACATCCTTTTATACAAGTCTCTTTAATCATTAACATGGCTTTCATAGCTTCGGATAGTTTAATGGGCCATGAAGTCAGAGTTACTTCAAATCCAGACCATACCTTGTGGCAGGGAAATCCAGGAGCTAAGCAGGATCTGTCTGAATACATAGTATAAAAGGAGAAGCCACTTTATAAAATATATCCATTGGTGTACAAGTATAAGGAGTGAAAACAATTTTACCTATTTCAATACAATGTCCATAACACATACAAACAAGTCACATAGCACATTCTCAGTATCACTGTCATTTCCGTGTTCCCGCCGTCTTTATGCCAGGGTCTGTACAAACTGGCCTTCCTTTCTCACCACGTTTTCACTCCTCACACGATCCTGCCCTGTCTAACCCTGCTCCTGCAGAACCATCTTTCCTCTCGGCAGCAGTCAAAAGCACAGTGTAGAGCAACCAGTTACACGTACTGACTCCTCCCGTAAAGAGTGCTTTGGATGAAGAGTGCAGGATATCAGCTTTCAACCCAAACAAACCTAAGCCAAAGCGAATCAACCAAGGCCACAATCCTTGCATTGCCCAGTGTCCTGTTGCACAGGAAGGGAAGGAAGGTAAAAATTTCTTACTCTGCTGACCAAGAACTTCAGAAGGGCAGCGCTCCAGAGGCAGCCATTCATTGCTATAGCACTGTCGTTGCTTTATTTAAAAAAAGAAAACAAACCAACCTCCCCCACACACACACCCACACACCCTTCCTTCTATATTTCTATCTACTTTCAGGATTTTACATGCATGCCCCTTTTCATTAACAGAGTGAAAACTAGTAGTTATCCCACTTGCAGCACCGTATTGGCTAGAAAAAAAACATGAGTTTTCTCCAATAATAGCCCAGGTTCCTTCACACATTCAAACTATAAAGTAGGGAAACTTCCCACAGCCACCGCACTCCTGGGCAAAGTATCCTTTTTCACTATCAGCAGAACAGCATAAAAAGCAGGCTTTAAATAGCATCCCAAAGCAACTACCACTTCCTTTCTCATCCCAAAACACAAAATAAGATCCTCAGTAAGTTTCAAGTCAGTAAAGAGAATTAAAACAAGAAACATACAGCATGAAAGCCAAGGAAAATTCAAAATGAGCAAGACTCAAGTAGCAACACCAGGTGGCTTCAACTGGAGGTTTTCAGAATATTTTGGACAAGTAAAGCTGACTCAACAGCACTGAGAGTAAACACAGTGACTAAGGTTCAAAATCTGTTGTAATCAACTCAGAAAACTGCATAAAGAAATAAATTCTATGAAGTAAGAGGACCAAAACCCAAACAGACATCATCATGCAAATAATGTATTTTAATATATTAACAAATAGAATCCTTCATTTTTTCTTAAACAAGACATGTAGTATCAAATGTTTATGTGCATGGGGAAACAAAGAGGGAAAAAACATTACAGTATTTTTGTGTGTTTTCATTACACATTTTGACACATTTTACTAGGAGTATTCTACAAGAGTAAGAGCAAAGTATATTTAACCAATATTGTCCTAAACAGTGAATCGAACAAAATAAAGTAGTACTTTCAACCCAACATTACCTTGGAAAACCGAGCATTTATCCATTTTGTAAAGGTCTTTTTCTGCACATCATTGTGTTCATCTGGGGAGAGAAAAGAAGAAGAAAACAATGAGTGAAAATGCATTCTTCTTAATCCTAGATTGCTCAAAACAGGTCATATTAAACGCTATCCTGACTCAGTGGGACAATTTTTGCCTAATCTGTCAATAAAGCTGTTCAAACCTCTGCAAGATTTTGGTACTTGCAGAGTCACACAAATGTTTCAACTTTGCTAGCAACCACAGCAGCTCCTTTGCATCAGAATCAGCCTCAGTCTCACAGCACAGCCTGGGCAGGATACTGATGCATTAAATTCACAGGCTTCCCATCTGGTGAAAAGTAACCTATGAAACCACGGGCTTTTAATCAACAGACTTCGTCAACACCTTTTTTCTTGGATGCATTACTCCAAAAGCTGCCTAGGTCCTTATTCAGGCTTCTGATGAAGATAATAGCCTCCTTCAGTACACAGCACAAGCACTGCAGTAGCAAAGCTGCTGGAGTAACCCTTGAAGCACTCACATCCTTACCCACCCTCAGCCTGGTTTCGCACCTGGGTTAGGAACCATGTGAGTGATCAGTCACAGCCAAGTTCAGCTAAAGTGTGGGAAGGGCTTAGCAGCCCTTCCCTTCAGATGCCCCTACTGGTGTGGCACCGAAGTACCATCACCTAGGGCCCAGGAGATAACCAGAAGGACCCAGCAGGACAAGGAGGAAGGACAGGCAAGCACCTACAGGTCAAAGCAGAGGGAGGAGCAGTGGCCTCCAGCTATGCAGAGAGAAGATAGTTTCCCAGCTTGTTTAAGGAAGCCATTTGGGAGTCAGCTGCAATTTTACAGAGTCTGTCCCACTAACCCAGGCTGAGTCACCTCCAGCACAGCTCTGCCCATATCACAGGACACCTCTCAGGTAAATTGCACTGAGCAGTGCTAAAGGTGAGACTATGCCTCATCACCTGCACTTAAATGACAGTGAATTACCTGCTGACAACAGACCAGGCAAAGGAAGTTGGCTCACCATGGATTTTCAGGCCTGCTTGCTGCAGCCAAGAAGAAAAGATACACATGCAGCCTGTGAAAGGCTTTAACCTCCAAATCCATGCAGCAGACCACAGCCAAGGCAGGCAGTGCTTTCCACTGGGCAAACTCAGTTTGACAGCTGCAGCCCAGACCGTAATCTCCAAAAGGCTTTCAAGACTCCATGAGCTTCTTGACAGACCAGCCCGGAGATATGCTTCAGGCACCCACAGCACGTTGCTGCCCAGGACGTTCTCCTGCAGAACCTCTCTGTGGCAACTGGCACTGATTTTTCCAAGCCCCTTACTGCAACAAAGCATACCACCATGGTGTTCAGACCATCTCTCCCTGCACTGGGATGAAGCCATAAAGAAAACTGGATCGAAACTCAAGTGTTCCACTTCATGAAATCATGAAAAGGGAAAAAAAAATTATACAGTCTGAAGAGAAATCAGATTATGATTAAAAGACACCACTTAAAAGATCATACGCCTTGGACAGCAGCAATTGAGACTGTTGTACAGTGGAGTTTTACCTACAAACTCCAGATGTTTATAAAAAAGAAGTCACAGAATACTACTAGAAGATTCCTTAGGTAGATGACCTCAAAATTTCCTCTTTCTTGCCCAACATGCATCTGAAACTGATGCCATCAGATATATTATGTCTAATATATCTAGCCACAGATCTGTTACGCACAGGCTACTGAAGCAGGGGAACAAACGACCAGGGGTTTTTTACCTAACAGACATGAACAAGGAATAGCAGTGGCTAAGGCTCAGTTCAGACAAGAGAAGAAGTCACACTGGTAGAAAATGAGATGTCACAACAGTTAAAAGACTTAATAAGCTTTATGAAAACATTCATGTAAATTTAAAATAAAACCTCTGTTCTGGGCTCCTTTTAGGCTACGGCTGAAAAAGCTGCTTACAGCATGGCAAAGAGTGCACATCTGCTGCAGCGTGGCAGCCAGCAGCCATTATTTCACCCTTCTGTGCTTTTTCTCTTTGCCATCTAAAGCTGATCCAACGTAGCCTACTCCTCAGTCACACCTCGAGCTCAACAAGAAATTAAATAGCCCAATGCAGAAAAAGATTTTTCTCAGAGCTTCAAGATACCTACAGTGCATGCACAGCAGGCTATGCTTAAAACATCTCGTTGAAATTCAAGGAATTGTTCTGGGGGAATACAATTACCCAAAAGATCTCATTAACCCCGCTCTTTTCCCTCAGTGAAATAGAGCCCCTTGCCATCAAAGATGCAAGGATAGGATCTACCAGCAGGATACTCAGTGCCAAGTACCCATCTCACAGGAGACTGACAGGGTCAAGATTTAAACTCCAAATATACCAAATGTATTTACTGAATTTACTGAATATATTTTTTCCCTCCAAGTGTTTTTTCAGGAGACAGGAACAGACTAGATTATTAACTGCCACTGTTGGGCCAAAAAGCTAGCTCAATCCCAGACTCTGTCTACCTCTTGATAATGTTCTCCATTGACATTAATTGCAAATACTATTTGTATTGAATATATTGAGATTTAAACATCCTTCCCTCTCTTTAAACGTCATTCAGTAACCTTTGTCCCTTTTCTGCCAACACCCCCAAGTATATATCTACGTATCAGGATGCTTTCCTAAGGCTCGGTCTGCGTTTTTCCTTCCCTAAGCTTCCTTATGTGAGAATCAAGAAGAGTAACCCCAAAGTTTGAGGTCTCACATTCTTTTAATGTGCTTACTCCTTAAGATGATAAAGGCAAAGCATGAAAAGAAGCCAAAAACAGTTGTATTGGCTGTGTAAAAGGATAACAGTTATGAAAAGGGTCATGGATTTATAAATCCTGTGCGCTCAGAGCTCTACACACCCCAGTCTTGGGGAGCTCAGCCCCTTCACAAGCACAGGCACAGCAGGAGGTGACAGCTCTTCTCAGCATTACACTAGCTTCAGCGTTCCAGGACTCCATCAGCGGCCCTTGTGCCTATAGCTGCTCCCTCCAGACCTCAGGTCCAGGTTGTGTAAGTGCTCATGCTATGTGTGCTGCAGTAGCATGCATGACATTTACTAAAAATCCAGCCCTTTTTCCCCTCTTTTCAAAAAGAGGGTTTCCTAGGGAGGGGAAAAAAACAACGAACCAAAAAACACATGACTTTGATAAACACAAACTACTTAGTCTTTAATGGAGACAGAAAGAACATGAATGTATATGCTTTTACTATCTCTTCAGTATCAGAGCATCCTTTCTACTTCAGTTAAGCAAGGAATCAGAACCTCCACAACTCCCATCTTCCCAAAACATTCTGCTCAGTTATAAAAACCCATAGATGACACTTGCCCAGTCAGGCTATGCTTTCATGTTTGTTTACAAAAGCCTCTGAAACTAGGATTTCTGCAATTGGTCATTATAGCTAGGGTTGTTTCAAGCTTTCTGCTATAAATCCCGGGAAATAAATTTGTAACCGAAATGCTGGTGCTTTGTTAACAACAGCGACAAGTTATTTTATCCCTCAAATTAATTTTCTTTAGATGAGTATGTAAAGCTAACTCTGGAAGCTGACATTATGATTCAGATAACAAATTAGACACATTCAGTCAAAACACAATATTACCATTCAGCAAAGCACGCGGTACTCCAGCCAGTCAATTTCTCACACAAGACATTAAAAATGTCAGCAAGTCACAGCCCAGTGAGAAACAAATTCACCAAGTTGCTAAAACATTTGTGTTTCCTTTCACACTGCTGCAGCCTGACAATAAAAGCCATGGACTGACTGCTTCATCACCTACTGACTGTTTCCTCCGGCCAACATGGCTTTGCCTGCCCTCCAGTCACTTAATGGACTTGTAACGGCCAATGTCAGAACAGTTTGTTCCTTTACAAGGAAATAAAAAGAAACCTAAACACACGCACAGAATTAAACTCTTGTGATGACAACATAGAGAAGAAAAGCTTCCTATCCCGGATGCTTGTTTGCTGAAGTCTGTTTCTGTTATACAACATGATGTATGTCCATGCAACTGGAATACACTCAAAACAACTGGCTCTTGTGATCAGATGCCGACCCTGTGTCCTGGCATTCAGTCACCCCCAGAAGCCACTTTTATAGCCTTACGTATCTCCTCCATCCTCAGCGTTGTCCCTTAATTGTATTGGGGCACTTTGAAACCGCCGTTCAGGTCCAACCTATTACCTTGTGAATATCATGTTCAGGAGCAAAAAGGAATCTAAATGATCTAAAAATAGAGGTAGTAACAAAAGCCTCACCAGATTGTGGTTTGCCCTTTGCTCAACCTCTACTTCATACTGAGAGCCAGCTTTCTTATTTCCCCAAAACGCATTACATGCTTACATGACAAAACTGTTTTATTTAGTTTTTGAAAGACAAAAGTTATCACACCCAAAACAGCTGGCAGAGCAGCACTATAATGAAAGTGGCCTAGAGAAGAGTACAGACTAGTTTGGAAAACAAAGTACAGAAATTGTCCAACCATTCCAGCACAAGTTACCAAGGGTCATCTCACATTTTAAGACTTAAATTTGCCTTCCCCACCTCATTATTTAAGTTCTCATTAAAGTTCTCAGCAAAGGAATTTAGAAATAAAAGAAGGAATTAGCCTGTGGGTTTCAATTAAGACACTTGGAATGTAACAAAGTTAGAAACATCCCTTTGCCTAAGCCCTTAGGCAAGAGAGAGCACCTATTGCAGATACCGCCCCACCCCAGGACTAGCACCCGTCTGAAACCCTGACAACATCAACAAAAAGAGGGGAAAGTTTTGTATTCTTGGGTGCAGGATTTTCTGGATAGAAAAAGCATTTTGAAAGTAACTATCTTTTTGCCAAACTCACTCAGAGTAATTCACATATAAAAAGACACAAAATAAGCATCTAAAAATTGAGGATGGAAACCAGCGTGGTTAACAACAGGCAAAAAGCCAAGCAAGCCACAAAGCACCAGAGTTCTTGACCACCGAGCTCACAGAAGAACCTCTGATGCCCATCAGGACTACTGGACCCTGACTTCAT